TAAGATTATAGAAAGATAAGAGGGATGCTGGATCAAAACAAAGGTCTCTGCAACTAAATATTATTTTTCCATAGTAAGTTTCCTCCAGTTCTGAAGATAACATGGTCTTCATGATTTATTGTTTTTAACTTAACAGCAAACTAGATTATGCCCCCTGTATATGTGGGAAAGACCTTGGGAGATGGGGCAAAGAGATGCTGCCTAGGGAACGGTCAGATAAGAGAGGGCATAGCCCATAGCTGCATAGTAGCCAGAGCAAGAGGCTCAGAAGGGACCCTCCCCAAATTCTCAGGCTGTAAAGGTGATGGCATGAGAATTGTACTTTCAGACTTGCAAGATTCTGTTAATGTAGCTTTACAATAAAGTATAATTAGTTTATCTGGTCGTGTTTTCTGCCTGGTCTACCCAGTATGGCTGACACCCCCAAATACTGTATGTGATATGCAAATAATATATATAACAGGAGAATTATCATAAATTCACTAAGAATTATAATGGAAGCAGATGAATCTATTTTCCCTAATATTCCTTTTCTTATAAGGGATTATGTTCAATTCAGGGTTTTCCCTTCAAGCAGATGCACTATTCCTATTGATAGCCTTCTATTTCATGGATTTGCTTAATTCTTTTTTAAAACCACTAAGTTGATGAACATTCCTACACTCATTTAAAAATATCTTACAAATATATCATAAATATTTTCAAAATGGCATGGAACTCATCCATAGCATGTATATGTGTGTTACAACTGGAAGAGAGCCTAAATTCTGTTTTGAGGAAAGCTTGCAGATGAAACCTTGGTATTAACTGTATTCAGATGGGGCTAATTTTCAAGTGTGTATAAAAAGTGAGAGCTAGTTTGGTGTTCAAGCACCAGGCTAGAAATCGGGAGACCATGAGTTCTAGGTATGAAGCCAGCTGGGTAACCTTGGGCCAGTCACTCTCTCTCAGCCCTAGGAAGGAGGCAATGGCAAATCGCTTCTGAAAAACCTTTCCAAGAAAACTGCAAGCACTAGTCCAGGCCGTCACCAGGTATCAAAAACTGACTCGGGCACACACAACCACACAAAAGCAAACCTGACCCTCAATCCAGCATAAGAAATTGCTAGTGCAAAATGTGATTTGCTTCCTGCTTCTCCCTTGGTTTCTCTTGGCCTTCAGAATAGGATACCTGTGTCTTCTGCTAATGCCAGCTTTAAACAGAAATATATTGTGGGCATGGGAACAAAACTGTATGGATCAGATTAGGTCCCCTTGGGTCAGGAATCAAATCTAACCAATTGATCAAGCACTCAGGGATAGCACTGCTGACAATGAGGAGACAGGAAAGATTTCAGGTAGCTGTCACACAGAGCTGACATCCTGCACTATCTAAGCTATCTAAACTATTTAACCTGAGGTCTCTTATCTGATGTGGACAAGAGGCTTGGTTTGTCTTCCCTCAGCAGTCTTGGGTTACAAACACCTCTTGCAAGAAAAGGAAATGTTTCCATAAGCTTAGTTCTAAGATATTTACTTATTGATTCTCTAAAATGAAACGTATTATCTCCTTTCTCTGTTTTCCAAAAATAGGTGCTTTCCCCCCCACAGCTATTAAAGGAAAATAAATCCCATGTTTTAATTCTGGAGAAGCTTCTTTCCATTTCTTTGTACATTTATAACCTTTCTTTCAAACCTGAATTTTGAAGGGCAGTCTTGTAGTTTTTACTTTGGGACAATGTTCTGCTCGTATTGTTGGAATTTGTTAATTATCTTTAGAGGGCTGGATCATATAGATCTGCAGGTACATCATTGCAAACACACACTGATGATACAAAAAATCACTAGAGGGATGTGAAAATATTCCAGAATTCTTTGTGAAAAAACTTCTGTAATTACCAAGTTGAAACTTTAGTTGCTAATTGTAGTTCTGTGCGCACTATAAGCCTAGCCAATTGTTTTCCCACAAAGAAACTTGAGAAGCTTTGGTGAAGAACTGCACCTTCTAAAAAAAATCTCTCACATGCATTTCCCAAAACTACAATTCCTAATGCTAACAGAGAATGGATATGACACTACCTATCTATAGCGCAAATCTATAGCATGCGCTTGCGCATAAAGAATAAAAAATAAGAGCCTCTAAAAGATCTTTCCTCTTGGCTGCTCTGCCAAAACTAATTCATGATTCAGTGATCATGACTTACTGTCTGAGTGATCAACTCTCCATTATTTTGCCTCATTCTTCTTTAAAACATGTACATTCAATAGTCCCCAATTCATCATGAGGCAGGAAATCATGATGTATAGTACAGTACCATATAATTTGTTTATCGGTCCTAAATCTCATTCACCAATTCCAAAAGGATCCATAGTAGCATCCCAACATATGTCAATTGTGTCATGCCTACACTTTCTGAGGAAAAGTTTTTGCTTTTGTTTTTTGAGTCGGTGACAGAACCTATGATTTGCATGACTTACAACCAATGCAGGTCTAAGTCCTGACATTTCTGCTTTAAGGATCTCCTGTATCTTTGCTGGGGAAAATCTCCATAGGGAATCAGGCTAGAGAATCACAAAGCAATGTTGGGTTTGAAAGACACGTACCAGCCCAAACTGATATAAGGCAGCTTCATAGGCCTGATCTGCTCCTTTCCGATATCAGATTAGTTTTTCAGCATTAGCCAAATCACAAGTGAATAAATTGTACTTTCAGATATTCTATTTGGGCTGTTTCTCATGGCCCCATCAATAAGCATTCCTCCAGTCTTTGAGTTGGCAGCAAAATATGCTTGCCTGATCCTACAGTTTAAGGCCAGCAATTTATAAATTCCCCTGGCTTTGTATCTTCTCCCAAGCAGTGTCAACAGCTGGAGGGAGAAAACAAGACATGCTTGGGCAAATGTAGATGACTACCTAGGGCAGAGGCTTTAGCATGAGTGACAGGTCACTGGAGTAGAGATGCTTTGCACCAGTAACCTGCCACTTGGGATATTGTTGAACGTGAGTGTATCGGTCTTCTGAAAAACCGGTGGATCGGGGTGGAGGAAGGGTGTGGAATGAAGCAAGAGGGAGCTTGTGAGGTTCACTGTTGCTTTGTCTTGCACTATTCTCCATCTCACCAACTTGTCAGCTGGGGATTCTTTTGGAAGAGTTTTCTCAGTCATCCAGAAGAATGGTAGTCTGGTAGACAGGTTTATTAGTCTTTTGGTCACTTGCCTAGGAGGAGAAACGGACAGAACTCTTACCAATTTCATCCTGGCTCCAAAATACTTCAAATTGGTACATGTTGCAAAGGAATGGTGGCAAATGGCCACAACAGGAGGCACCCAAAGTATCCCATGGCATATGCAAAATGGTGTTAGATTAGGCAAAACGGCATTGACCCCTTCTCAAAGTAATAAAAATAGGGAGTGGCAGAAAATACCTGTTTCCCAGTTTAAATTGACTAGCCTTCTTTTCCTCCTCCTTTTTATGGACAGATATAAAAGTCTTTTGAAAGACTGTTGAACATGTCTTTCAAAAAAGGTACAGACACCTCCAGAAGACCAGATCAGAAGTTCATATAAGGAGCCCATGAAATGCCTAAATGGCATTATAGGAAGCGAGTCAGACTTTATATGGCTAGATGGCTTTGCAGAAAACAGATGTCCATTTTTTCCTGCACCCCAAGCCAAAATGAGGGGTAAGGTGAGGGGTGTTCCTGCAGCAGCCTCAACTAACCAAGAGGAACTTGATCAGTACCAGCCCCTGACTGTATCATCACAAAGATGACAAATGAGGTGTTGTAGATGATTCATAGGCCAACATTTTTGTTGGAAGGAGATGTAAAACACTGGAACAGCTAAGAACAAATTTAGATTGCTTCCACAGTGAGTTCGGGATGACATGAATGCACATCCTCAAAAACAATTAGTATGATGTCTCTAGCTCAATCAGCAAGTAATGTAAAAGATCCTTTTGTGACTGTAGTGGCATGGCTGAACCAGTCGGGTAAGAGGCTGGTGCTCTTAAATCTCCACTTCCAGAAGCTCTCTGGATCTGTCCAACTTGGCCCCACTTGAGGTACTAGCATGATGGTTCCTGCTGCTACCATCCATCTTCCAGGGAGTGCCTCACAAATGTGTGTGAGAGAAATAAGCCTTCACTACTTGTATTACCTTGCTGGCAATAAGAAGTTAAAGGGAAGTGTGGAAGGACGGGCTACCTGGGCACCTTGCAAGCACCTGTGCTCCTTCCTTCTCGTGCCTTTTCAGCCTTTCCCCAGCATCAGGACAGCTCAGCTGCCAACAACCCAGCAGTATGTGCAGATGCCCGGGTGGAGGGAAGAAGACAAGGCACGTTTCTTGCAGCTTTGTAGCTCAAGCGTCACGACAGACAAACAGAAGCGAAAACTCCAGCAGTGAAAGTCAAAGCCGTGCTGCAAAGGAGCCAACAGGAAAGGAGGTGGCAGTTGGGAAAATGGGGGATTTGAGGCATATCCCCACCCTCAGCCTCAGACTCACAGGAGGCAAATGCTCTTCTACCCCAGCAGAATGTCGGTGCTTTTCCCCCAGCAGGAGTGGACATTCCACAGAGGAAGAGTGAAGAATCCCAGTGGGAAAGCAAACATGCTGAAAAGGGGCAAGAACTTCATTTGCTGGCCACTGAAGGCTACAAGAGAGCAGAAAAGGCAAAAGAAACCCAAAGAGAGAGAGAGAGAGAGAGATGGGCTGTAAGGTAAACTCTGTAAGACCTTTAGAGAGTAGCAACAAGAACATATAGAGACTAGAACCAAAGGAATACAGAATTTCACACCAAAGAAATAGAGTGGTTAGCGATAGAGAAATATATTGCAGAGATATGGAAAAGAGTAATATGATATATGAAAGAGGACTTTAAAGGATAGTGTAGATATAGAGGCTACAGAAAATAGAGAAAGCAATAGAATATAGGATTAGCACTAAGAATATTGATCTAGGAGTAGGACAACTAGATAAGGACAATAGGGATAAGGCATATATACAGATAGAATGCTAGCAGTAATACATTTGTTTATATAACAGTTGAAGACATTCATAATTTACAATTCTGTTTTGTAAGACGTCCTTGTATAAAAAGTCACTGTAAGGGGATGCAAAATAAACCAATTGTCCCAATTTCTAATGCTTTTGTGTCTGTATTGAGTCTGGGTCATTCTGATTGGTTGTAGTTTCAAAAGAACCTGTGATAGGAAGGGAATTAAATAATTCTTATAATGGAGTTTCCTTGGTTTGTATGTAAGGGTACATGACTAGAAGTTTCTTCTCCCTTTTGGGAAATAACTTAATCTCACAAGTGGTAAACAAAATCAAACTTTTTTTTAAAAGGTATATTATATTTTTTTTTAACTTTAAATACTCAAAATACAAACCGTCTATGTTGAAGAAAGTAGATATAGCATTTGTAAAACAAAAAAAAAAGAACATTAAACTGCCAATGTATTGCTCCAAATAGACAAGATTGTGTTGGTCTACTATAAATAGTATTTCTCCATTCCATCATCATCATCATCATCTTCATCATCACAAGAACTTAGAGAATGAAATATAGAACATGCCTGATATATGATTCCAGTCTGTGATAAAACACAAACATTTTTTTTAAACAGAAATATAAAGCATATTGGACATAAGCACGCAGAGCAAAAGAAATTAGAATTTAATGCAGCTCTTGCTTAAATCACTTACATATTTCTTTCTTCATTTCTTAGATAAGTTGTAAAATGAATCCCAGTAAAAAGTCCTCTGCTGCATTCCTCCAGCCTCTTGGAGTAATTTCAGCTATTTATCAGAGCTGTTGGAGTGATGGTACAGCCCACTCCTTTTTCTAGCTCAAACGCAAAAACTTCTCGCTCTGTTTCCCCGGAGTTCTCTTTCTTCTTTTAAAAGAACAAATAATTTTTTCTCTACAAGAAGAAGAAGCTGAGGGAAATCTCCTGAGAATCTGTGCTAAAGCCTAAGTGTTAAAGCCCATGCCTGAGAAAAGGTGTGTATTCAAACTCAAATGCTGACTAGCATTTAGACTAGAGGGGGGCTTCAGTACTGTGAATGCAGGCTGGCTATTGACCCCAATGGCATACTCTGTTTTCTCCTGTTTTACAGAATGCATAAGGCAAGAACAAATATGAATGGATAGATAGATAAATACGGAAGAATTACAAATGGAAGGCAATATATGCCAGGACACCATCTCTAAAAGACGGTCTTATACATGCCTTATTTAAATTTAAAGCTCCTTATCAAAAAAATCATCAAAAAGGGTAATCCTTTCTGTCTTAGTTCTCACTAAAGCAGGTCTCCGATAAGGTTTCCTAAAGTTGTCACTGTCATCTTTCCAGTTATTGGAGTCATTGCTTGAAGCATCTGAAGATGATTCTGCTGTCGCTTGTTGCTTCAACAGCCATGTCTCCACTTTGTCCCTCTGGTCCAGATGGGATTTAGGTGACCCACGCTCTTTAAGAAATTCTCTATGCCACAAATCTCCTAATAAAACAAGCAAAGGAGGCTCCACTATTGTACAAACACAAGAAGAACTATGATGCATTAGCAACCTTGGATCTATGCCATTTTGTCTAGCTTAGCCCCAACCTAGCACCTCAGATACCATAATCCATAGATAGCATTGGCCATACTGGTCAGGGATTATGAGAGTTAGGGTCCAAATTCTCTGAAGGAGATCAGGTTGGCCCCACAGCATTCCTGCAAATAAATAAAATGCTAGAGGTTGGTGCTTTGGTTTGGATTACATCAGTCAAATTTTTTTTATTATAAAATATTTTAACAGATTAGGGGAGCAGGAACCCTAGGAGACACATAGGAGTTCCACTGTCACATTTGAGGTCTGAAATCACATTGCCTACCTTTAATATACTGCACTTGCATATAATGCACTTTGGCTTCCCCCCAAGGTGACAGTCTTCAGAGTCAAAATGGCAAGATTTTCCTTCAATGTATGAGTGGCTATTTTAGTCTTTTGTGACAAAATTAGCCAAGATTAATTTGTTAGCCTTTGAAGTATCACAAAATTCATTCTTGGCTTCTTTTGTGGAACGAGCACAACAGGAGAAAAGGCAGATTTCCATTTCCACTTAGGAAGAGCCAATGGAAGAAAATTTTCTACAATCAAGTGATCATCCCAAGGTGTATCTCCGGAAATGATTACTATACAGTTAGTGGGACAAACTAATCTGGAGCACGTGCCTATGACCAATTCTTAGGCATTTTTTGACCTAAGTATTCTATGCTAACATTTTGTCACAGATAGAAATGAATTGATTCTTTGTTGTTACCATTCAGAAATGGAATATGGCATCTGGAATGGAGATGCTTCATTCCTAGGATTTCTAAAACCTCTGGCATGGTACAAATTTTACAACATCCCTGATCCTGTACCATACAAGTGGCTCAGGACTTTATGTCATCTGAAACATACTGGAAGCCAATCAGCATACAATCTGTAAGCCCGCTGCAATCTAGAAACAATGCTTCCACGGCTGTATCCTTAGAATTATTTCATCCCAGTTAAAAATGTATATTTCCTCTTCTGATTATATTTGTAGAGGAACTCTCCAGCACCTCTTGTTTTGACATCCCCTTGCATCATTTGATGAGCCAGTTAGGTTACCAGAATCAATATCCTCATTTCAGAGTTGGATGATGTCATATTTAAGTATATTGGCCTGTATCTCTGGCATGCGGTGCAAGAAGATGACAAGGAAACTGCAGCAAATCTTAGATGGATTTATGAGTTCTGAGAAGGAAACTATGAAACAGAGATGGTGCTGATGTAGAGATTAAAAGGTTAGGAGTCACCTTAACCATGTAGCAGCATTAGCATTTGCCTGAAAATTGGTTGTCTTGATGGTACTTACCACAGCTTCTGTTGAATATTTGGTCATGCTCAGTACAGTGTAGCTCTTCATCATCAGAGCTTCGAGTTCCCTGCATATGCTCAAAAGTGCCCAGCAAATGAAGATCCCTTAGTTTTGGCTTATTAAGCCTAGCCTCCTGTTGCAGACGCCTCTTCAGTTCTGCCTGAATTGATAAATAATTCCTTATGAGTTGCAGATACACCACGGTCTCAAAACCGGCTTAACGGATATTCCTCTCTCTGAAAGAAACTGGTTTTCAAAAATGCCATCAGAATTTTTATCACCCTAAAAAAAAAATCCTAGAGTTCTGAGGATTCTTGGTGAAAAATCATTACCAGTAGCTTATTTTTTAAAAAATGAAAGAGGTTTGCATTGTTGATATACTCCAAAATATCTTAAAGTAAGTAAAAGTACTAAATTGCAGTTATTCATATAATTTCTTTAAGAAATAAATAAAAGTCGATGGAGAAATACAGTTTTAACAGATATGCACATTTAATTGCTACACAAATGAATAAGCTTCATATGATTAACGTAATAACATAAGTTTAATATGGTTCCAGCTCTATGACTAAACAGATCAAATAACTATTGCTATACATGCCCCAATAGTATAAATTTCTACAATGTGCACCCCAATAACTTGCTATCCAATGGACGCCCTCAATTTACTTGATCATCCACTTTTCTCCTTAAATACTCCAATGGTATTGCACCAGTAAAAGTACCTCAGGTTTACCTCTTTTGTTATTTCAAGCATCTTCATCTTGAGTAAATATTGCCTTCTTCCAGTGGGGTGCTTAGCAGCTAGCCCTCCTCTCTCTAGTTCCTTCCAGGTTAAGCAGAGGGTTAAAAGACATCACACAAAAAAATTATGAAACAAAGCCAGGGTTGCATCACTCTTCTGAGAACAGTTGTCTAGTTCATAAAAGGATCCTTGTAAACTAAGGGATCTGGGCTACCAAAATCCTGACAACCGCCAGATGACAGAACTCTGGTATCATCTGGATTTTGGTAGCCCAAATCTGATCACCTAATTGCCAATGACACTGTAACAGTCTTCACTTGTTTTCTTTTAGGCTACTTAAAATCACAGAATCTTTACCAACAGATGTAAACATAGATCATTTGGGGAAGATGCAGAGAAGGACTTGTGTTACATCAAACTGAAATTTAGCAAGCAAGCTTTTGCAGTGGAATAAAAAAGCATCCATAGGCAAGGTCAAGAAAGTCAAGATGGCAACCAAGCCACATCCTCTTTTATGTGCACCACATGTACAATACACAGAAAAAGGGACAGGACTTCAACTGTGCCATTGTGGCCACCATCTTGACTTTTTTGACCCCCACCCATAGACACCTAGAATGGAATACAGGAAGTGAACAAAAGGCAGTCAAAGAGTTCAGACATTTTTCTAGCCTGGTTGCCCCAATACAACGTCCTCTTCAATTTATATGGCCAACACATCTGGATTTTCAATCCCTCACATTTGGAGGATAGTAAATTGGGGATAAGTACTCAAATCAATTTCACTCCAGACTTCCTGTAACCTGACTCTCTCTAGCTGCCAATAGAGGCGAATATGTGTAGCTCAGGGTTGAACTGTGGAGTCCTTGGGGTTCTCTGAGCTAATTTGACGGAAATTCCCATGATCCCTGAGCATTAGCCACATGGCCGAACTGATAGAAATTGTAAACTTAAACACCAGAAAGGGCCCAGGATGGAGTAAGTTGCTTTAGAAGCAAAGTAGCAGAGCATGAAAGCAAGTTGACAACATGTTTGCAAACTAACAACATGGAAATACTTCCACAGTTGTATTGTTTAGAAATTATAGAAGTTGAATACCAGTTCATCCAGATGTTGGGAACAATATGCTCCATTGACGAAGCAGTTATACTTTCTTAATGTGACAGCCCTGCAGGCTAATTAGCTCCATTCTCCAGTAAGGAGGGGTCACCACTAGCAACTGATAGCAATTTTTAGAGTCATTCAATTGTAGTTCAAAAATAACTGTAGTAAAGGCAGGCTTTAAATTACTTCAGCAATGGTTGGGTGATGCTATAGGTCACTAATGGGTAAATGGCCTGTGTATCAAGCATGAATTAAAAAAAAAAACAAGCAACAAACCGAACATGTTCAGTTTAGCAGAAAACGTAATCATATTGGTCCCTACCAACCTAAATGAGATCACAAAACTGTTTTTCTTTGTATGGTGGAGGAAGAGGCAGAAGAAGGAGCAGACGGAAGAGGAGTCATGCCTAACATTTTTAGAAGGGCGCTGAATTCCAAACTCATCTGTCTTTATTTCATAAATCAATTCTTGTATCCCCAATTTTCTCTGAATATTTACCTTTTCCTTCCGTGTCACGGTCCCACCTGGCAGATTCAAGTATTTGTCTGCAGGGCTGTTTTCTGCCAGAATAAATGGCTCCAATTTCTGCAAAGCCAAGAGAAGAGTAGAACAGCACTCTGGAATTCCTAGAGGAGTGACCCAAGCTAATGTGATGCCCGTGACCGAGGCCAGCATCTGTTTGCATGCTTCTGCCACCATGCCAGCTGCCCGTTCATGCAGTAGATGCCAGTGGCTTGTTCAGAACCCCCTTCAGAGGATGGATGAGCAGAGCAGAGTAGGATGAGTCTGTTTAAATATCCCCTTGGGGAGCAGATTTGCAATCCATGAGATTTCCATACATTTCTAAATCTGGGGGGCAGAAAGAGGTTGTACTTTTTCCCCCTAATATGTACGTGGTGGCCTCAGAACCTTTGAAGACTTGAAAACTCTTTCTTCATACTTCCTGGGACGACCACGCTGCTTTTCAGCATGCCCGATGCTGATGCAAGTGTGCTGTTTTGTTGTTGTTTTAAAATTTACTTATATTTATGTATTTATTACAGGTGCATTGATGCTGCTTTGATCAAAACAATCTAAAGAGAGAGGAGATGCCTTCAGGGTCTCATTCAGGGTGTCCATGGGGGTGGTGTCAAAAAAGTCAAGACAGTGTCTACAACCATGTGATCAAAGCTCTACCCCTTTTTACATGGCCTGATCTCATATATTTCAGAAATTAAATACCGTCCTCAACATAAATTCTTTCCAGGAAAGTCTCATGAGTAATAACTGGACTTCATTCCCAAGGGCATTCACCTCCGTAGGTGTTCCCAGAAGGTTCCGTGGGGGAATTCTTTTTAATCTTGGGAGCAGTTATAACAATTTGTGACACCTTTACAAGGTTTCACAAGTAGTGGTGTCCACAGAATGAGGGTGGGAGTGGGGAGAGACCCCTTTTCTATATGCATCATGATATCTCATGGACACTTAAGAGGGGCAGAGCTTGTAACAAGAAATTGCAATGATGTTTTGGCAGTCTGACACAGGAATTTTCAGTGTTTCTGCCATCAGACAAGGCACTGACCAGGTATGACCTAGAGTAGATTATTTAAAGCTCTTCTCACGTAGTTTGGTATTCAGTGCCAGTTAGCCTGGTATGGACTATCTGGCCAGGCAGCCATTTCTCTTTGTGGGTCTATTTTTCCAGTAACCTTTTGAAGGACTGCATGTTCAACCTATATTTATTTACCCAGACAAATTGCAAGGTGTTATACGGAAGAAAAACTATGTTCTTGTGGATGAAAATGTGTCTTTCACATTCTATTCTACACAGGGGATAAATCCTACAGATTTAAGGACATGCAGTAAATAAGAAAAATCAAAAGAAATGTTACAGCACACTTATAAGCACATTGACTCCAAAATATATCCCACAGTATTCAGTGGGATTCTTCTCAATGGACAAGCTTCTGCCTTTTGCATTTTTAAGAATCATTACTAATCAAGGTACAGTCACTAGGTGGCAGCCAGTAACACTATAAAGCTAAACATTTCTTTAAACTCTGCAAATGCTGTTAATGTGCAAAAGGGAGGAGGCACAGAGGTCACAATCTTCTCAGCTGACAGACGGCATCATGCAATTATGCACAACTGATGGTACCAAAATGCAAAAATAACTGTTTAATTTAAAAGAAAAACAAAATGGCTAAAAAAATTGTAAGATTTCATGCAAGAACATAGAGATCTTGCAAGCTTTTTGGCCACCTGCACAGATCCTGTCCAAGTTCCCATTGCAATATCTGATGAAGACACACAGAGACAAAAAAACATGAGGCCTCGTGCGGTGGGCTGAAGACAGCATTTAAAGGACTCCTCAAATCTTCACTGATATTTCTCGTTTTATGCTCTACCATAAGATGACCAGGTCTTCTGCATGACACAGGATAGTTCTCTTGTTTAAATACTGTTCAGTCCAAGCCCACTTTATAGATTAGTTTAAAGAATTGTTGGTTTATTTATTTAGGCTTTGTTTTTTCCCTTGTGTAAACTATTTGGGGCTTATCTGGGAGGAAGAAGCTGAGCAATATAGACATGAAGTGAAATGAATAAAGTACGAGATCAGTGAATCCTCTGGATAAAAATTACAGACCTGGATAGAACATAGCATCCTTAAGAATGCAACACAGATCTTGATCTCATCAGAGAAGACTTCTTCACTCCAGCTTCTAAGTGCCAATGTGGATTTACACACTGGGACACCTTTCACTGGTGCATCTGAAGGTATGTTTCCTCTCTCCTTTTTGACCAATTTGCTAGCTTCCATTCAGAGCCTTCGTATTTTGCCAGAGGTTCAGAATGGAAGGTTCCTCAGGAAACACCTCTTGCCATTTCCTTTAATCTTACTGTTTGCTGAAGCTTTCAAACCTTGCAAAACTAGGCCACGCAAAAAGAATCAACAAGCTAGCAAGATGCATCTAGCAGGATCTCATAAAGAATTCTCAACAAGAAAAGAGTGCTGGAGGGGATGGATGAAGAGTGAAGAGGGAGGGAGGCCTTCAAAGAGATCTTAGCAAATTGAAGAACACTAACAAGAATTCCTTGGGGAATGGATGTTTCTCACTGGAATTTTCTGATATGGCTTGAAGAGACAAGATGTTGGCAATTTAAATTCAGCCTCAGCATGTAACAGAAGGAAGTCCATATCAGTATCACTGATATTGATGTTTGAATATGCTCCATCTCGAAAATATCCATCAAATCTGCATTCATAATTATATACAACTTACCCTCACATAGGAGTATCTATACTTGATTAGTCTTTTTGCATGCAACTTTCCCAAGTGTAGTTTAATTTTGGTATATCTTCCACCCATTGAACTGGGGCCTCCCAGGTTAAGGAAGGCTGGTTTCTGGATCAGAAGAACCTCAAGAGGCTACTGAAGAGTCTTCCAGGAGGTATCTTACCTGAAGCCTTCGAGGTGGATGTTGCTTGATGATGCTTGCCTCTCCTCCTCCTCCTCCTCCTCCTCCTCCTCCTCCTCGTGTGTGGTCTAACAGATTTGGCCTGGGCACTTGAAGGAAAGGAAGCATTTTAAAAATCTGAGCTGATTATGCAAAATTGGTCATCTCTTTATTATGATTATTTGATGTTTTTGAAATGGGGAATGAATGGGGAACCCAGCTCACATTTTTACCTTTCCTTTAGATTTTATTGATAGAAACAAGGAATGGTTGGAAGGAATTACATCCTTCTTGTCACTCCAAAATTCAAGGGCCCCTTTTGTGACTGCGCAAAGCAGAGGTTCATGACAGACACTGTCCAGGACACTCACAAAACTGGCGCTTCAGCAGAATTAGTGCAAGAAAACGGCTGCAAAAGAATTACAAACTGCGTTCTGCAGGAAATAACTTTTCCATTGTACACAACAGAATCCATTTTTTATCTTTTTCATCAAACCCAGATGTTTGTGCAAGTGCTTGGGCTGTTATAAAACAATTCAGGATCTGTTGCTAAATGCCCGGAACTCATTTGTATTCTCTGCAGTCTTCCAACTTGTGTCTCCACTTGAAGTGGAGGTACATTTCCTTTCATCTTTAGAAGAGAGCAATCTGCTGCTAGATTATCCAGAAAGGGGGGGGGGATCCAGAGAGAGTCACATTATTATGATCTTTGGGAAAAAAGGTTTATCTTCTCATGGTATAGGTATGAAATGGATAATAGAGACAAGACTATTACATAAACACTCAGAAAATATAACTGCTGGATCTGTCAGATGCCTTGAATACTTTCTAGGGTAGAAAGGCAAGTTAGAAATCACATCACATTAATCAATCAATCAATCAATCAATCAATCAATCAATCAAGATTCTGTTTGCAGTCTGATCCAGAAGCCAGTTGGACCAGAGCTCCAACTGGTGCAGCCTTTTGTTTCCACAACAGCCAAGCAGAAGGTAAATTAACAAACAAGGCCTACGATGGCCCAGTTCCTTGTTTTTTTTTAGTTTCTCCTCTTAAGAATTGGTCTTTCCCCTTGAAAAGGAAGTTCCAATATTCAAACCTCTTGTTAAACTCTGAGCCCTGGGAATCTTTACTCAGCGCCTTATTTCAAGAGGATCT